ATAGTTACACATTGTCCTACAAAGTGTGTACCACAGTTACAGATTATCCTACAAGGTATGTACCAATATTACACATTATCCTACAAAGTATGTACCATAGGTACACATTGTCCTACAAGGTATGTACCACAGTTACACATTATCCTACAAGGTATGTACCACAGTTACACATTGTCCTACAAAGTATGTACCACAGTTACACATTACCCTACAAGGTATGTACCACAGTTACACATTGTCCTACAAAGTACGTACCACAGTTACACTTTGTCTTACAAAGTATGTCCCGTTTTTAAAGATTTTATTTTCTTAGCGATTCACATGTAAAAGGTTGTTTGTCGTTGTTGTTGAAAAGCAAAATTTCACAGATTAAGGAGTATTACGGTGGTCACAATGAGTTTACATTTAGATCCCCACCTCTTCCTGTAATACTTTGTAGGCTTTTCATGGCGCCCATCTCTTCCACCCGAGCAAATAAATCTTCAAACCGTTTGCAATAGACTCGAGCCCTGTAATTTAACAGGGCAACAGTTCCACACTGCTGGAGGCAGCTTCATGCGCCCAAACCAGCATTTCTCTTTAATGTGGTGTTGCTTATAAACGAACTTCACGTGCCAAAGTAACATCAAATCGCGTGATTGATCGTAGTCTAATGCAAAATTAGATGTCTTCATTATCTGTAGTATTTTATGGACATAGTAGAGAAGGCTGGTTCCTAAACCTGACTAGTGAAACCAAACCGAACCCACATCCAGTTTCTACCGCACACGAAGCCATCTCACTCACGATATTTGCATATTGCATCAAGAGGACAATAAATTACGTGTAAAGACTGGTAAGGGTGGCTGACCTGTTCTAATTGGCTGTCAGTTGAAGGTGATCCTTTAGATAACGGTAACGGTCAGTCTGGTTACATACTAAATTCCAACACTATCACGACATTCTAAGTACTAAATGGATTCTAAACTCATTAGTCTAGGCTGTATTTTATCAACATATCTTGCTTGTTTGTTTGTTTTGTATCAACTCTGAACAAGGAAAATTCATTGGTAATTACTGATATTATATTGGCAATATCAACTCTGAACAAGGAAAATTCAACTTATTGGTAATTACTGATAATATATTGGCAATGTCAACTCTGAACAAGGAAAATTCAACTTCTAACAAATTGCTGGAGTCCCTGATGACTAACAAACTGCTGGAGTCCCTGATGACTAACAAACTGCTGGACTCTCTTATGGCTAACTAACTGCTGGACTCTCTGGTGGCTAACAAACTGCTGGACTCTCTTATGGCTAACTAGCTATTGGACTCTCTGGTGGCTAACAAGCTGCTGGAGTCCCTGATGACTAACTAACTGCTGGACTCTCTGGTGGCTAACAAACTGCTGGACTCTCTTATGGCTAACTAACTGTTGGACTCTCTGGTGGCTAACAAACAGCTGAAGTTGTTGATGACTAACAAACTGCTGGAGTCCCTTGTGGTTTACTAACTGCTATCTAAAACATTGACATATAGGTCAATTTGAAGCTAAAACTCTCTGCCATAAAAACATTTTTACATACCTGGATCAGCGGCAACGATCCAGTAATTAGTTACTGACGAGCAGAAGCCCTAACAAACGTTTTGCTGTTGAGATTATATACCCTCAAGGATATATTTTGTCCGCTATATTTAATACTCAGTAAAAAGATAACATGACAGGTGTAACTGGGGGAGAGGTTCGAGTGGTTCACGCCCCCCCCCCCAGTGGCAGCCGTTAGTGAAACTTGAAAAGATGCGTCTCCTTGTTCCCCGTATTACCTGCTCCTACTATCATATGCATGCAGAGGCCCATGCTGCGCATGCTCTCTTGGCATACTTTTCTTGCTTTACTTCTACTCAGTGGTAAATCTTCTGACGAGACCGAGACAACGTAACATTAAGTAATTTAACTAAATGACTGAGCACAAAAGTAGTTTCTCATGGTATTAAATCAACGAAATCTGACGTTGAACTGTAGGTTTTCACTTAAATGTTCAGAAGCAGTGGATGTTCTAATGACCTGTTTTTTTTTGTTTTGTTTTTTGTTGTTGTTTTTTTTTCAAAATATTAAGAATTAAAAGCAGATTCAGAGTACAAAAACGAAGTTTTAAACACACAAAAGATAAAATCTTTATTAAAACTCTCAGCCGACTAGTTTCGGTTACCACCACCTGGACTAGTGACTACCAGTTGATAATTATGTTATCGAAACTAGTCTGCTGAAATTTTTAATAAAGACTTTATCTTCATTATGCCAAAACAAAAAAACAACGTCATCTTTGTTTTTCACTCTTAATACAGTAGCATAATGTGTCTGAAAATAAGCTAAAATAAATCCCAATATCTCACACAAAGATGGGAAAGAGGAAAGAAACTTGAAATTCAACACATATTGTATAATTTTCCAATCTTTCTCGAGGAGCTCTACCAACAGAATAGTTTTAAACTTTTCAATATGTTTTACCGAGGAACAGTGAGAAGTCATTACCTATTTTCACAGTTTTATTTATGTGTGTAAGTCGAACTTCGAGTATCTACTTCCACAACCAATCAGCCACATGACTTTTTCTTTGCACTTAATATTTCTGTACCAGTTCAATCATAAGGGCTAAAAAATGTAAACAGAGACGAAAGTATCACCGTCATTGTTTGAGTGTAATTGTTCATGCAAATCAACCAATTAAATACGCACTGATTAAAATCCAACCAACCAAATGCGCGTTGTTTAAAGGTCACCCAAACAAACACGTGTTATTTGTTAAGCTTCTTATAAAGATGAACGATATGAATCTCTGGATCTTTATAAACACAGAAAGTACTGTATTGTAAGTTGTTCTAATATACACGGTTGTGGTTCTAACACGTAACATAAAATCCGAACCTAGCGGCGACTTTCAAAACTGTATTCAGACTTGAGAACCATAATTTTACAAGATTTTTTTACACAAACATCACATTATCTGTATGAACTAAGGAATAGCACGATCGTGTTTGTGCAGTCAACAAAGATCAGTGATTTCGAACAATAACTACAAGGAAAATCAGACTTCGGTAACTTTGAATCCCCCCCTCAAAAAAAGGAAAAGAAAAGGGACGTTAAACAAGTTTCCAAGGCTGAAGTATCTTTGTGCATATCGCGTCTAAGTTGGTTTAATATTGCCTGCTGACAAGCCGAGGTGACAGATCATTTATAACCAAGGATTTTGGTGCATGTAAATAGCTCGACTACTGGCTTCCGACGTAAGCTTATTATATAGTTACCGATAACATGGGAGTTAAGAACGACAAGAATAATGTCAAAGTTCAGGTTTTACTAAGATACGTTTGGCCTTACACGGAATAAGATCTGGCAACAGGCCTATTTTACCGAAATGATAAACTTACAATGATCATCAGATGGATTTAAGTAAAATATTATTACGTGGCAAACAGTTTTTCTAGAACCAATTATGGCGTCCGTTATAATCCAAACTTAAAACCATAAAATCTCTTCTTATCCTTGCTTATGCACCTATAAACGCAGAGCAAAATGTTTCAATTAAAATGATAAAAACATTTCGGTGACGCTAAATCGACGTTCAAAAATATATATAAAACTGAGAAGATCAAATGAAGTTTATGCTTGTTTCATACTTTTCACGCTAGGCTACACAGTAGAACTTATAGGTTAAAGAGTTTGTTTGTCTGTGTGTTTTAGAGCAAAGCCTCATTTGCTGTGTCTACTGCGGAGAATCTAACCCCGGATTTTAGCTTTTTAAGTCCGTAAACTTACAACTGTCCCAACGAGGTGTCAACCGTCCCTAATTTTGAACTGGTAGACAAGAGAGAAGAGAGCTATTCAACAATACCCACCCCCAAATCTTGGCCTATTATAATCGAATACTTGAATTCACTGTCACTCTTATAACGCACCCCAAAGTGCACAGCGCATTTAAGCAGCGACGGGAGAGAACCGTGAATTATTAGATTCACAGTCCGACCACTGTGATCGTTAGATTATGCCTGGCGCAAATAAAATATTGAATCAATTACTAACGTAATCACCCTGAAAGCAAGATTTATATGCTGATATAGAGAGCCAGCTGACGTTGCTTTTTGGATCATTGTTTTTTTTGTTTTGTTTTACTTTTTCCACACCAGGGGTACAAAGCATACCTTTCCTGTCCGATCATTCATTCGAAGGTAACATCTCAAATGTGCATTAATTTATCGATGAAAGTCGGTTTTGGTTTGTCTTTATTTAAGGCAGCCCATGTGGTCATTATTTTAAAATAAACAATTAAATGTTTGTCTTCCCTTACCTCTGGAGATCCCCCTCCCCAGGGGTCTCAGCTGTAAAGGCTTATAACACTAAAAACCGGTTTTCGGTACTCGTGGTGGGCACAGTGCAGGTAGCCTATTGTCTAGCTATGAGCTTTACAATAAAACAAACAAACAAATACTTCTGGAGAAAGCTACTGGATACAGACAGCTTTTATTGGTAGAAATAGTCTACTGATTTCTAATGATTAACGTGTACTGAGTTCAAGTGTTTAAGGTGTACTGATTTCTATTGATGAAAGTCGACTGATTTCTAGTGATTAAAGTGTACTGATTTCTAGTGATTAAAGTGTACTGAGTTCAAGTGTTTAAGGTGTGCTGATTTCTATTGATGAAAGTCGACTGATTTCTAGTGATTAAAGTGTACTGAGTTCAAGTGTTTAAGGTGTGCTGATTTCTATTGATGAAAGTCGACTGATTTCTAGTGATTAAAATGTACTGATTTCTAGTGATTAAGGTAAAGTCTACTAATTTCTAGTGATTAAAGTCTACTGATTTCTAGTGATTAAAGTCTACTGATTTCAAGTGATTAAGGTAAAGTCTACTGAGTTCTAGTGATGAAGGTAAAGTCTACTGATTTCTAGTGATTAAAGTCTAGTGACTTCTAGCAATATTAGCTACAATAATAAAACCATATAACAGTTAAAACCTACTCTTCTCCCGGCTTCGTTATTGTGAAGGTTCATCAGTTTTCTCCCTTGTTTCCGGGAACCTCTGTCAAAGTTATTTTCCCGCTCTCTCACGTCTACGAACCCTTCAGTGAACCGGTAACCATACTCAATGTTGTCGCCGCAGCCTCCCCAGATCCAGTCGCGGTGTAGGTTCTTCGGTCGTACAGCTCGGCTGCAGCCGCAGTTCGACAGCTGCCCGTCTCGGCAGGCCCTGGAGACGACGTGCACCACTCCCGCTGCGGAAATAGCGTGAGTAAAGGCCGCTTCTCTGCTGCCTGAGAGACGTAATGAAGACATAATTAGTTATTACGACCCTTGGACAGTAATTACAAAAACAGTAAAGATTGAGAATATATAACGATAAGAACTTTCCATACTAGTAAACTATTAGTAACCCAAAACTGTTCAGAAAATGATATAAGTACTAAATCAACGAAAGTAGTGGTTTTAATTTTAATATTTGATAAAATTCGGCACATATACCTGAGGTTTATGTTATTTAACAAGGAAAATTCAACTTATTGGTAATTACTGATATTATATTGGCACTTCATCAGGGTGTCCAGCAAATAGTTAGTCATCAGGGACTTCATCATTTAGTTAGTTAGTTAGCCATCAGGGACTCCAGCAGTTTGTTAGTCATCAGGGACTCCAGCAGCTTGTTAGCCACCAGAGAGTCCAACAGTTAGTTAGCCATAAGAAAGTCCAGCAGTTTGTTAGTCATCAGGGTGTCCAGCAGTTTGTTAGTTACGAGGGTGTCCAGCAGTTAGTAAGTCATCAGGGAGTCCAACAGTCAGTTAGCCATTACAGCAGTTAGTTAATCATCAGGGAGTCCAGCAGTTAGTTAG